TGAAGAGAACATTGTAATAAAACTTAGAGGATGATGCTTTGGAGCAATCAAACTTCAATAACAAGAAGGAGCTGGGCCTTTTCTGACGTGGGTTTGTAAGCATTTAAAGGATACTGAGCCCGGATGGGAGCAAAGAGACTCTTTTGACCTGTCATTTATCTGTGAGGGGCATGCCGGGAGTGGGGTTCAATTGACCGAGGCAAAGCAGATGTCAGGATGACAGGAGGGCTTCCCCACACCCCTCAATAAAAGAAAAGACACATTTTGCATCCTGAAGTCGCCATGGAAACCAAGTGCAAAACAGGAAATAAACCCAAAATGTGCAGAATTCTTTGACCACTTAAGAAAAAGACAATGGTTTTGTTGACACTAATAATAATGATGCACATAATGTCAGTATGTTGATAATCTAGTGCAGTATACTGATCCAATATTGCAGCTATACTGTAGGACATAGTTCCATGATGACAATTAATTTTCATCGGGTTTCCTAACCGCTTCCCGCATTGAGAGCCCGTGTGCGTCTGCGCCACAGGCAGCAATCTGCTGGCTCATGTCGGGGCTTCATTTTCTCAAGCTGATTCACGAACAATTATACAGTTCAGTTGTCCGTTGGGCGGAATCCTCCAGGAGCTTGACAGGGAAAGTGTGGCGTTTGCTGAAACCATAGGCGTGGTTTTGGATGAAGATGCTCTGTCTGCTCCCGCTGGGACTCCACCTGCCCTCACAGCGCGTCCTGAGCTTGAGACACTTCGGAGCGTATTTTGTCAGATTAGATTTTTTGTCATAGAAGATACAGAATTTTTGTCTGTGTGTAGTGTAATTACAGCTCTGTGGACGTACGGGGAACCCGGTTTGATCACCTCCAGAGCAGCAGTGGCGGCGCACGGCACTTGGCGGAGATAAACTAGAGCGGACAGCGCGTCGCTTGGCCTCCAGGCATCAGCAACAGCAGAAAAAGAACCACAGCGGAGACCCTGGTTCATGTGTAGGGCTGTTCGACGAGCATGTCGTGCCCGCAGTGGTTGGCAAGAATGGAGATTACACGCAAGATGCCCAAAAGATCGCAGTGGCTTGGCTTGCTTGTGGTGGCCACTGTTTTACTTGTAGTGGACGGCAAGAAAGCCAAGCAGCCTCGCTGTCCCTCATTGTGTACATGTACCAAAGATACCGCGTTGTGCGAAAGCGCAGGACTGATCCCTCGCAGCTTTCCTTATGATGTCATATCACTGTAAGTTACATTTATCATTGTTTTATTATACATTTCAAAGCTGCGTTTTTCTGCAAAACACTCTCTGGTTAAGAAGTGGATTTCTCTGCTTCTGCAACACAGTATAGCCCAATGCATATCCAAGGAACAAACTGGGGTAACTGTTCGTATGAGGCTGTCTGTAGCCTATTTTAGGGCTAAACAGTGTATCTTTCTTTCGTGTTTTGCCTCCTCAGGTCGTTCGTGAAGTCTGAATTCACTGAAATCCCGAAAGAGAGCTTCATCCATACGCCTGCACTGCATCTGCTGTGAGAAATCTCTCTGGAGCTTTTTGTTCTTCAGTCTTTGTTGCATGCTGTCAGTTCCCAGTGAAGTGATCAACGCCATGTTTTAATGTTCAAGACGTCCTCTCCACTGAATAGCAGGTTGCTGTACAGTCGAATGATTGGGGGGCATCAAATAATCATTTATATAAAAAAAAATCAATTTATTTTCTAAGAAGCATTTTCATGTCATGGAAGGCGGGCATTCATCTAGGTCTTATGTTAAAATATATCTGTACTTGAATCAGGTCTGGTTTCAGGGATGGAGGCGGGCATTCATCTAGGTCTTATGTTAAAATATATCTGTACTTGAATCAGGTCTGGTTTCAGGGAATCCCTCCTTTTGAAGAGGGAATTCCTTCCACTTGTGGGGTGGAGTCACTACAACATGTAAGACTGCTGGAAATCCTAACAGAGCATTGATCCTTATCTGGATTACCATTAAGAACAGAGGAGAGGGTTTTCTATCATATGGGCTCATTTTCTAGAGTATGCAGTTGATAATGTGGGAAGACAGCTAGTTATTATTCAGTTTGTGGCACTGAATAGTAAAAATTTAACTATGCATCTCTTTGCACAGCCTCTTTACAGCCAACAATCTGCAATCTATAAATGATGATGCTTTCCTTGGTCTTCCTCATCTGGAGTATCTGTGAGTAGATGGCACAAAAACATCCTTGAAGCAGTTCCCTAAAGATAAGGTTGCCTCCTTCCTCATGCATTTTTTCCTCAACACCTTTTTCAGATTCATTGAAAACAACCAAATCAAATCAATATCACCATATGCTTTCCGTGGCCTAAAGACCTTAGTGCATTTGTAAGTATACATTTATAACTACCTATACAAAAACTGAGCTATTTGTCAGCAATATGATAATAAACATGACATGAACGTAATTAATAATTGATTTCATTTTAAAATGTAATGACAAGAGATCATGTAATAAATGTTTCTGTTATTTGTATGAGTGGAAAGTGGTGTAATCACTTTGCAGGTTCAGACAAGCACTGCTCCAACAAAATGCTGACAAAGTTTATTATGCAATATTGTAATTATTGCCCCATACAATATTCTCCCACACTGTGCAGTTTCATTATGATTATAAACAAATTTTCACTGTCATTTTCACTGTCCAACTTACTGTGATACAGCTTAGAAGCTTATGGTAGTTTTTGTAAAAAAAAAGTAAAGTAAGTAACAGTAATCTTTTAAATTCTTCACTGATGACAGCTATAAAAATTACCCATCTTCATTTCCTTTAGACAGACACAGCAAAGTTTGGTCACACCCAAGATATGAAAAAGTGATGACTGACATGCGTACAAGATAATGTCATGGTATATAAAATAAGGCACTGAGAAAATGGAGAAAATACTTATAACTACAACAGCAAAATCTAATTCCCCCATCCTTTTTGTAGCAGAGGAAGCCACAAAATGGCTGAGGACATACTTCTAAAAATAACTTAATGTTTCCTCAAACTCACAATAAGCAATGTTCCTGCCTTCAGTCTTCAGGGTGGACACTATGTGCCCAAGCTCTTTCACAGATATCTTTATTTTTCACTGCATAAACCATATCCACATTTGGATTTTGTGAAGCCCTGGAATTACCTCTTTATAATGAACATGCAAACAGCAGAATATCTGAGGTGCTACTGTTCACAGTAATAGTAAAAAGAGGGAAGCAATAATCAGTATTTTTGTTCCAGTCTCACAGAACTCGTCTTTTCCTCCTTTTGTGTGCAGGAGTCTGGCCTACAATAATCTGGAGACTCTGCCCAAAAATTTGTTCAAGGGTCTTGAGGCCTTAACAAAGGTGTAAGTACAAATTTTAGTCAAGCATTATCTGAAAAGAAAAAGAGATAAATTACAATGAGCTGTTTGTACAGTCTCCTATAAATAGAACACTGTATCATTACACGTCCACTCCAGCCAAGGCTTGAAAAATGTGTGGGCAGCTGGTGCTTTTAGCACCATTAAAATTACATGCAGCAGTGAGGAAGAGAGCCAGTCTGCAAACTATCACCCTACTGAAGATGTTTGGTTCTTCTTTATGGACCCTTTTGATATTGATGAGACCACAGAATGAAGAGCAAAGCCATTAGTCACACTTCAGTGATGGTGGCTTTAGAAAATCAAATCCATTCACAAAGCTAAGAGCATTCCTGTAAGCATTTGAGGGTTTGGAGGTTAGACTGGTGGTTTTCTTCCTCCAGAGACTTACGGGGGAACCAGTTTAACTGTGACTGTAAACTGAAGTGGCTGGTGGAGTGGATATACAACACCAATGCCACAGTGGATCAGATTTACTGTAAAGGCCCTGCATCACAGCTGGACAAGAAGATCAATGATCTGGTGCCACAGTCCTTTGACTGCATCACCACAGGTGGAGTACAGAAAATGCTTGTGTTTGAATTTAACACCATTTCTTAATTAACTTTTGCCTGGTTTTTAATGTTATTTAAGGTATGTTTTTCTTTTTCTCAGAGTTTGCTTCCTATCAGTCCCTGAAGTTTGAATCCATATCGGTGGAGGCATTTTCCTTTGAAAATGACCAGTATGTGGTGTTTGCTCAGCCCTTCATGGGGAAATGCAGCTTTCTAGAGTGGGATCACGTAGAGATGGTCTTCAGAAACTTCGATGATATTGACAGTAAGTAAAAGTCTTTTCAAATATACTGTAATGTGGTTGTGAATGATTTGTATGGGTAACGCTGGAAAAGGAACTACAGTACCAGATGTAGACAGGTATCTGAGACAAAGTGAAGCTTTCTTTCTCTTCACCAGGCACATCCACGGTGATTTGTAAACCGCTAGTCATTGACAACCAGCTCTTTATCATTGTGGCTCAGCTCTTTGGTGGCTCACACATCTATAAACGTGACACCTCGGCCAACAAATTCATCAAGCTTCAAGGCATTGACATAGTCAAAATCCGCAAACCAAACGATGTCGAGACTTTCCGCATCGATGGAGAATCCTTCTTTGTCATCGCAGATAGCTCCAAGGCTGGGTCCACCACTATCTACAAGTGGAACGGTAATGGGTTCTATTCCCACCAGTCGCTCCACCCATGGTACCGGGACACTGATGTGGAATACATGGAGATCTCCTCCAAACCTCATCTGATCCTGTCCAGTAGCTCCCAGAGGCCAGTCATCTACCAGTGGAACAAAGGCACCAAGCTGTTTGAGAGACGCACCGACATCCCAGAGATGGAGGACGTCTACTCTGTGAAGCATTTCCAGGTCAAATCCGACCTCTTCATCTGCCTGACACGCTTCATTGGTGACTCCAAAGTCATGCGCTGGGACGGGGCCCTCTTTAGAGAATTGCAGACCATGCCCTCTCGTGGCTCCATGGTATTCCAGCCATTTTCTGTGGGGAGCTGGCAATATGCCATCCTGGGCAGTGATTATTCTTTCACCCAGGTGTACCGCTGGGATGCCAAGAAGGGTGAGTTTGTCCATTTTCAAGAGCTGAACATCCAAGCTCCGAGGGCCTTCTCTCCAGTCTCTATAGATAACCGGCAGTTCCTACTGGCCTCCAGTTTCAAAGGAAAAACTCAGATCTATGAGCATCTGGTCATTGATCTTAGCAATTAAGCAACTGTTTGTTTTTTTGTCTGATTGATTGTTTGGTTATTATTAGTGGTTTTTGTGGTTAAAGAATGGTTGCAACACTAACAGTGATCATCATTTGATCCTAACTTGAGAAAGGCAGGCATTACTTGTATTTATTTTTTTAAACCTTCAGTTGAAATCTGTGCATGGTAAATGTAAAAGATAAGCATGTATCTCAACCGAATATATTTGGCTGAGATGCACGTTGTGTTTAACGCATGCATCTCAAGTTAGGATTAGACCCAAAATGTCATCAAGGCATTAACGCATGACCAGGACCTCACACATCTTGATGAATGCAACATCTATGCTCATTAATCCATTGACCCTAGCATTGGCCAGTTGGTTATCTTTTTGTGTTTTGTGTTTTGCGACAACATTTGTACATTTGTAATCATATATTTATCTACAGAAGTTAATATTGAAGTGGTACTTTTTAACCTAGTAACATGTCTAAATGAGCAAATCTGCCAAAAATGTTTACATTTTTCTCTTTCCAATTGTATGCTAAAAAATTTGTAAATGATGCTTTTGTAAGTTTAAGAGGGATCACACAGTTAGATACAGATTTGTTATGGAGAATGATTTTATGACCTATCTTTAGAATTTAAAAATTATCAACAGGAACATTGTGTGAGAATCTACCTGTACTGTATATCCTTACAACTAATATTTTTATTGTTAATGGTTTACATAATGTTTAAGTACTGAAATACAGTTTTTCATATGAAATATGGGAAACATTTTGGGCACACTTGGAACTATTTTCACATCCTAAAAGAAACTGAAAATACTATTCCTAATGATTTACCTTGGACTAACATGTATACAAAAATAGATCAACTGTGTCATGATTAGTATTAAGTTACTGACTACTATCATGATATCTAGAGTCAATAAAGGTTTACATAATTAACTGTTCCCATCTGAGCTCCCTGCTGGCACTGTGTAGCATGACATGGCTTCAGTGTAAAACACAATCACCTGCTCCTCAAAACAAACTATATCTAACACTTATCTACTTCATCACCTGAGGTGAATTGTCATTTTGATGTTAGTTGTGTAAATATGACAGAGACATGAGAAATTAAATGAAATAAATACAAACAAATAAAATCCTTTTTATTTTCTCCAACAAAGTGCACGCCTCAGTTCTACAAAGCAGCACATTACAATGTAATGGAATAAATACAATAAAATCTGCTGAATTAAAAAACAAACAAACAAAAAAAACAATCAAGAAGATACACAAGTACCTGCACAATCACACTAGTGGCAGGACTAAATCGGGCTCTTTAGAAAGGCTCCATGAGAGAAACTGCTTCTTTCATGGTGACTGACTTTTCATACATCTTTTGGATAAAGACATCCTGTCCTATGCTTTCCAAAGTAAACCAATTTAAACCCTACATTTTTTTTCCATTGTAACTGAGGATTACCAAACTAACATGAAAGAAATACCGGTGCATACTCTCATGTTCATACACATCACCCTGGAAAACTTGTGCAATTGCAGCAGGATCTCCAAATCCCCTACCTGCTGCTGAGAGAAAATAAAGTGAACACATTTTCAGTTTTAACTGAAGTTACTACTCAAGTCTATGTGGTGCAACTTGGTGTTTTTTTTTTAACATAGGCAAATAAAATATAACATAAAAGGCAAGGGAACACATCCCTTAATATTCAACAAAATAATTTAGTGCTCTTTAAATAAAATTAAAAACACTATTTTCAGATGGTGGCTCTTAAAAAAAGAATTTAAAAAACTCACAGACCAAAAGGATAATGCTCTTAGAGACATCAATTATATTAGGAAAGAACTCAAATTTCATGAAAAAAGACAGTATCGACAATAAAATTCTGTACAGAACAGAAAATCAATATATAATACAGTACCTGCAGATGTTATGCATACAGTACAATTCTCTTTTTACATAGTTTTAGTATGGGTTCCAGCCTGATCTATATACTAACTTAACACAGGTGGAAAAGCAGCTGCTTTAGCTTTCAGTAACTTCAGTGGTTATTCAGAGAAGATCTTGTAGAGGCGTTTAGAAAAAGAGATTGAAAATATTATTGCAGGATGGTCATCTTCAGTTGCATACTGCATGTGTTACATGAATGTATCCTATGACAAGGAGCAGTGGGCTGATGAGAGAGACAGAGGGCTGGATGGAAGAAAAAAAAAAAAGGGGGGTTAGCTGTTTTTGCCATCTGTCCCTAACAGAGGTTAAACCTTGCAGTATTCTCTAGGATCCACTACCCTGTACAGTACATTCGTGGCCAGTATTGCACATTACCAGCCGAATCTACCCTGATTCTGCGTGGTGAGGACCATCAGTGCTGATTTTTTTTCCTGTAAGTCAACACTAATCCAGTGATGAGATGAGACTGTGACCAGAGCTCACCAAAGATGATTGGGACTCCATCTGCTGTCACAGTTTGAGCTCATTTGCAATTTTGCAGGCGATATTCTTAAAGGCGATTGACGTGCCTGATATCCTCTTGAAGCGCACGCCGTTGAGTGAAAGCCGTGGCAGCTTGCATACCTCCATCTCCCATTGGACCAGATTGTCCTGACGAGCGTCGCCATGGACACAGAAAAGCAGGAAGCGTTCACGCTGCTCATAATCGCAGCTGTTGGCATCCAGAACCTTTCGGATTTCCCTCATCATCTCGGCAGGCTCCATGGAGGAGGTGGTCTTCATGCTCCAGGTGAAACGCAGTGAGCGAGGCTTGGAGTCCCGACCGCCATCCTCCTTAGCATCACCGGATGCACTCCTACAGAAATAAAAAGCAAAAGACACAAGGGCAGAGGGAAGGAAGGATGAAGAGATGTTGAGGGAGGCAGAAGGTGGTAAGAGGCTCTCTGTGAAATCTATGTCTCAATCAAATTCTCACCTTGGGGTTTCTGTCCTGGCACTGGGCTCTCCCTCACTAGGCACCCTGAAATAAACCAGGAATACACTGTTACTCCCATGACCTGATGTCAACATGTGATCCCCCAGCCACTACCCACACCACACCCATCATCAGTGGACACACAGAGGGGTGTCAGGCATCATGCCAGCAAAGAATTCAGACACCTGGGTATCAGGGTTCAGCACACAATGAGGTGACTGTGACTTATTGAGACACATACTACTGTAGCTCCTTCACAATAACCAAATGCATTCTATATTCAGTGTATGCTACCTTTCCTTAATCCCCACTGATGTGTAAGGAGGAGAACGTGTTTCTAAATCTTTGATCTGGCCTCCATAATTTGCCTGATCTTTTCTCTTCAGCTCAGCATGAAAATGGGGAGAGTAAGGAGAGGAAAGACAGGAACTTGAGAGGTAGACGTGGTTTAGTACAGGAAAAGCTGGCGAGCCGTGACGTTCTTTGAGGCAGTGGACACATAGGAAATACACGGAATAACAAGGGTGTCAGTAGGTCAAGGATGGTGTAGTGGGCAAGTTTTAAGGAGTCAAGAAATCATGGGCCAAGGTCATAGTGGGCGCAGAGGTTTTCTTTTTTTTGGGACAGAGTGAGGAACAGGTGCAGCAAGCGTTGTGTTCTCCTACCTCCGGGTCGACCTGAAAGACAGAGCTCTATGCAGGGAGAAAAGGAGAGAGAGCTGTGAGCTGCTACCAGCTGGGCTGGCATGAAGGTGACACAAGGAGCTAACTGCCGTAGGGACGAGGATGCTCTATCCTTTTGCTTGTCATATTGACAAGAAAGGGTAACAAGTGCGACTGTATAGAACCACAATGGGACTGGCAGAGTGTTTTAAAGAGGAAGAGAGAGTGAGCATGAAGTTTGGTACCAAGTAATTTCTCTTTTTAAAAGAAAAAAAAGATGGCATTCAGCAAAACTGTTAATTACTCCAGCTTACAATCCATCCAGTACAATCCATCTTTGTAGAAGTAAATTGTCATTTCCCTGATTTGAACGGAGCAAATACTTGATCCAACCGACATTCAGTAAGATTAGTAATAAAACAAAGATCAGTTACTAATATCTGTAATGTATCTTCAGATAACATTCAAAGACATAATACTGCATCCAAGAGTTTGTCTAAGTAGGAAAAAACAACAATTCCTTTAAAACTAAACTGTTCCTTTGACAAGCTCACCGGTACTTTAGTCAATCACACAGTATAAACTATCGCACTCAGGCTTTTTATTCCTGAGGGTAGGTGACTTAACACTCTCAACCAAACTTCAACATGAATTTTAGAATGCCTGACACAGGGAATACCTGAATTGTTAAATGCAAGAAGTGCTGGCTACACCCTTGTGCATCATTTGTGCTGCCGTTTTGTCTTCACTAACCTGCGGACAAACTTGGAAGTGATCTTGCTGATGATCCCGGTGGAGGTGCCCCTGCGTTGCTGAGCAAGAGCCCCTGTGTCGTGAGACAGCGTGGGTGAAGCTGGAGGCCCGTTGTAGGTAGCGCTGCGCCGGTCTCTGAGCTGAGCTCCGTGGAAGGTGCTGCGACTGGTGGTACCACGAGGAAAACGATTCTTCTCTGGAGTGCTAATACTGTGTGCAGACGGAGAGGTGGAGGGACCCCGTGGAGAGGAGCTGCAGCATAAACAATCATTATAGAGGAGCAGGAGTCTCAAATGATAATGAACATCACCATGTTTCCTAAGTCTAACTTATAAGTAAATTAGCATCACCTTAACTATCATGTTAACATCAGCATCTTCACCACAAATAGATTTTACACACGGTTGTCCTTTGGCCATCGTTACTGCAGATGACGACAGCACGATTGGGGCGCTCACCTGGCTTTAAGCTCTGTGTTGTCATCGATGGGGGGCAGTGTGCTCTTTGAAGGATGCCCTGATGATGACATGGACTTGGTATGACGAGGTCGTGTAGAACTCATTGCAGTTGATGGTGTGCTACCTGACACTTCAGTTAAACTGGGGATCAAGGGCAGACAGTATTAGCATGTGAGGATTAAGACACGTCACTAAAAACACACTCATTTGAGCAACAGGGTCTTGTATTATGTGATATAAAATTAGACAAACTGACTTAGACAAGACTCATAAAAAAAAACACAATGTGTAGCGGTAACTCTCATCCTGTAGTTGGGTGTGAATGTGTTTCTATTTACCTGCTGTCTTTACCATTGGGAATAGCTGAATAGCGGTCAGTAGAGGATCGTTCACACACATATGTGTTTCTGCGAGTCATTGATCCATTGGTCTGTTTATGTGGACACCAAAACACAAGTTATTAGTGAAAGATGATCACTTACAGTGCCTTGCGAAAGTATTCGGCCCCCTTGAACTTTGCGACCTTTTGCCACATTTCAGGCTTCAAACATAAAGATATAAAACTGTAATTTTTTGTGAAGAATCAACAACAAGTGGGACACAATCATGAAGTGGAACGAAATTTATTGGATATTTCAAACGTTTTTAACAAATAAAAAACTGAAAAATTGGGCGTGCAAAATTATTCAACCCCCTTAAGTTAATACGTTGTAGCGCCACCTTTTGCTGCGATTACAGCTGTAAATCGCTTGGGGTATGTCTCTATCAGTTTTGCACATCGAGAGACTGAAATTTTTGCCCATGCCTCCTTGCAAAACAGCTCGAGCTCAGTGAGGTTGGATGGAGAGCATTTGTGAAAGGCAGTTTTCAGTTCTTTCCACAGATTATCGATTGGATTCAGGTCTGGACTTTGACTTGGCCATTCTAACACCTGGATATGTTTATTTGTGAACCATTCCATTGTAGATTTTGCTTTATGTTTTGAATCATTGTCTTGTTGGAAGACAAATCTCCATCCCAGTCTCAGGTCTTTTGCAGACTCCATCAGGTTTCCATCCAGAATGGTCCTGTATTTGGCTCCATCCATCTTCCCATCAATTTTAACCACCTTCCCTGTCCCTGCTGAAGAAAAGCAGCCCCAAACCATGATGCTGCCACCACCATGTTTGACAGTGGGGATGGTGTGTTCAGGGTGATGAGCTGTGTTGCTTTTACGCCAAACATAACGTTTTGCATTGTTGCCAAAAAGTTCGATTTTGGTTTCATCTGACCAGAGCACCT